TGTATTTATCAACAAAAATACAAAAAGATGATAACTTTAATATTTTAGAATGGTGGAAAGACCATCAACATGTTTATTCAAGACTTTCAAGGCTTGCTGCCTATTATCTTTCAATTCCATGTTCCAGTGCACCTGCAGCCGGACTTACAGTTAATGAGCTTCGTTCAAATTTAAATCCACAAACAATTGATAGTATTCTTGTATTAAGAAGCTCATTATGGTAAATTTTTCTTTCTTGCAATTAACAATTGCAATAAAAGTTACTTTTTAAATAAAATCGTGTTACAACCATCAGGAAATTTTCCCCGCTGCAATATTACGTCCATAAATTTTAATATGTAAAGTTGTAATATTTGCATAAAAAATTATGTAATATTTACACTCGATGTAATATTTGCATAATTTTTGTATGCTTATCTGCATAATATTACGGGCCTGCTGTAAACTTACGTAAATAGTGTAATAGTTATGTAAATCCGCGTCAGAAAAAATTTCCTGATGTCACGTTGTTAATAAAAAACGGGATGAGTTCGGGTTGAAATTTTTATAATTTTTTGTGTACAAGTCGGGTTTGGGTTGAGATTTTTATAATTTTTTATGTACAAGTCGGGTTCGGGTTGGGTAATCATTCAATTATGATGACCCGTGAAGGCCTCTAATGTGTACCATTCATCCGCTGTGGCAAGGTTTGACTATATTGTGGGATTAACTACATGCTGTATATGATTGAAGATATTTAATACTACTATTAATTATTTTGAATTGATAATATAATTAACAAGAATGTAGAGATAATTTTTTTATTATTTCATTATAAATAAGAAAAAAAATTTTAGGAATCATGGTAATAATAATAATATTACTAACACTAATAATAATAATGCATACAGGATAATATAAGTATAATATGATAATCAGTTTTTTCTGATAATAAGTAGTATTACGACCCCAGTTACAACATCTGGTAGTCCATTAATTATAGTAATAGGATTAATAATTATAGGATTTTACAAAGTAATATTTTGTCGCCGCAGGAAATCATTCCTGATTCATATGTACAATATGTACATATGTAAAATTTCCTCATACAGGTGTATGACCACAACGAAATTATACAAACTCAATGGTATGAAAATTCTTCTTGTATAGCGAAATTGCAAACCCTGTTCTGATATGTGACAGACCTTTAATCCTTAGATTTAATTTAAACGAAAGAATTTAAATGATTGGATCACTTTAGAAATAACTTGAAAGTAATTCTACACAGAAGGTTCAAGTAATACATTTAATTAGGATAATTTAGGATTTCAAAGAAATCGGAGAACTAGATGATAGAACCTTTAACATGTATAAATAACATTGTAATTTTCTTAACTTCATGTATCATCTTAAGATCATTTTTAATCAATTAATTAATTAATCATAATAATTGCCGTCTAATAAATAACACTAACTTGGCCTTGACCTTGACCTCATCAGGAAATTTTTTTAGGGTATAAATATTGAGATACATCATTTATCAATATTTATCTCGATAAAAAAATCGAAAATTAACGAAATAAGATAATTTTCGATAATTATCTTACGATATTTAGCATCATCGAAATTAATTACCAAGATAATGAAATTAATCACCAAGGTAATTAACGATAAAGATTATATACGAAATTAAATCACTAAGATAATTAACGATAGAAATTAATAACAAATTGTTTTGTTCCCGCAAGTAGAAATTTTGGTGTTACACGAATTTCATTTATGTTTCTTCTAGCGTTTTTTAATTCAAACATGATGTTCTACTAATGCTTAAACTTCTTGCTATTTAATTACTTGTCGGCATTTTACATTCCTAATTAATTGTAATTTATTTTTCTTTTCTTTATAACGGCCTCTTTTTTAATTTTTTCTAGACTTTGTTTTGCAAAACTTTGATCCTATAATGATCACTTGTTTTGGCGTTTCTTTCTTCTTGCATTATTGCAATTGTTCTTCCATCAAAGATCCTACTATCCTTTCGGTATCCATTTCTTTCTTTATTTCAACTTTTCGAATGTATTGTTTTTAAATTTTCGTAGGTCCAGGCCCCATTTTTTTTTTTTTAAACTATTTTCCGAAGACTCATTCTATTTTAATTGAACAGGTTTATCTAGTTTTCTGGTTCGTTTGTGCTTTGTTTATATTTTGTTTTACTAATCATAATGACTTTGTGCAACATTTCGGTAATTGAATTTTCATGTTTATTCATGTTCCGTCTTCTCTCCTAGGATACTTTTTCCGTGACAGGGTGTCTGATCAATTCTTCCGTATAAAAGGTCGAATTTTGAATTTTAATCTTTTTGAATTTTAACCTTTTCGAATGTTATTAAAACTTTTAAAAATAATTTCTTCGATCTATTTTTCGTAATAACCTTTCTTTAACGCTTCTTTGTTTCTAAGGATCTATTTTTCGTCATAGCCTTCCTTGGGAGTCTCTTTGATTCTAAAGTATAGTTTTTAGTAATAGTCTTCCTTGAACACTTCGTTGATTTTAAAAGTATAATTTTCTTCGTAACGCTTCTGTATTCTAAACAGTATAATTTTTAGTCCTAACCTTTCTTGATCTCTTGTCCCTTATCATTTACTACCATCATTAGTTATTCTCAAGGTACAGTTTTACTTCGTTTGCTTTTTATCTCCAGAATTTTACTTCTAGGCTTCTTCAGCCATTAATTATATAGTATATGATAATAACATATAGTGTCTTTCGGTGGTAATAGTATTTACTCTTCCTTTCATTCATTGGCAATGCTTCCTTTCGTATTTATCCTTGTTTTCACAAGTAATGTTTTTCTGATCACGTATCCCGTTTCTTCCGCTTTAAAATAGTATGTATCTTAACTTCAGCTTTTCAGCCGAAAACTTAATTCCAATAATATATATGTCTATACAGGTCTGTGACTATAATCTCTTCAGCAAAGGATATGAGGGTCCGTTTCAAATTATAGTCCTGTCGTCGTCGCCAAAATGCGATCGAGTAAATTCCGGTTACCAGCTCGTGACGTGTCCAGTTAATAATATATATATATATATATATAAATATAAAGCATAAAATCCAATAATTATATAGCTTCTTCGTCTCTGCACACAGCTCAGAAGCCTTCTCAAAATACTCTATTGCGCAATTCCTATTGTAGTGCTAATTCTAAGCACCACCGGCACACAGCCTAAGATGATAAAATAAAAAAAGTATATATACGAGAAATATTTACAACTATACCACTTGAGGCGTCCCTACAGGGAACATAGAACAAACAAACGGAGAGTTCCTAACTAATGATTAAAGGTTGGCCATAACACTAACCATCAGAGGATCATGGAACAATTCACAATGGCTTTTCCTCTTAACTATTCAAAAATTCGTAATGTATTTATTTAATTATTAACAACGGAGGGGTTATTCAATTGCTATATGTTATTATGAATGTTATATTCAATATTATCCCTCTAACTTGGTAAATGCAATAAATATTACTCAATATTAATCATTTTAGTTAAATTTCGATTTTGTTAAATTCAATAAATTATCCATATTTATCTATATTGAACTTAATTGACGAGCGTGATTATTAACGATGTATTATGATGTTGTTAAATTATGATGTTAAATTTCGATGTTGCTAAATTTTGTTGTGATTAAATTTTGATAATTTATCCATATTTATCTATATCTAAAATAATCGACGAGGATGATTATTATTATTCAAATGGATTTTCATCGATATATATCCCCTTAAAAAATTTCCTGGTGCTTGTTGTCTTCGAATATTGTATTTTCGAAATAATAATAAACAATGAATTCATACTAATTCCGTGCATTAACCATATTCTCTCATTTTATATTCAACACTATATTATTATTGTTTTACTATCTTACCAGGGGACATCTTTGATAAGTATAGTTGTATATATTTCTTTTAATTTTATTTTATTTTCTTTATTTTTATTTAGCTTAGGCCAACACCTAAGAAGAGCAAATCCTAGCTAGGTGCGATCAGTCCAGGCACTGAACCTAAAATACAACAGAACAAGGCCCAATAAATCGTGGCTAAGTAATAAGAAAGCCTAAAGAACCGAGGCAGATATTTAGGATTATAAATATCTTGGAAACGTGCCGGCTCAGGCAAATAACAAAGAACTACCGAGAAAACGTTACCAGAGGGGAATAAACATCACCCCTATGGGCTAATAGACAAAGAGCTATTAATACCATGCACATTAAAGAAGCAATTGCAATTGGGATTAAAACCTACCAAGGAGCACTCGGCCACAGTTGTATCAAAATAACTAAAGCATTAGTATAAATGATTTACTGTGAGACGCGGATTTCAATCTCACAATATTAATCTTGGGAGATGATGATACGTGATGATCATCATCATCATCGTCACCCCCAAGATTTATGAACTGAACTGAACATAAATTCTTACCATAAATAATTTAGTAGACCAGATTCCCTGTACTACGTAAACTAAAAACAATTCCTACCAAAGAAAATTATTTTACAAAAAAACCGCCTTTACTATTCCCTCTTGTTTCTTTTGTTTTTACTCCAAATAAAATTTTTTTTAAATAAATAAATACATAAACAAAATGGTTGCTATGGCAATAAAACAAATAGTGGCAAAAAACATGGTTTCTGAGACCTTTCGTGAAATCTTTACTGGTAATTATTATGATAAATATCATACATCCAATTAATCACTCATATAATATTTTTGAATTGATAAATCATTGACCACACTTAAAGGGCCGACATCTTTATACCATTGGCTTAACAAAAAAAGATCTGTAAGTTTTTATAAATTTAATAACATTTATATAACAGATCACACATTTAAATGAGTCTAACTAAATAAGTGTCTCAAATGAAAAATTTATTATAAATATCTGTGTAATTTTATTTATTTTTTTACTAATGATAAAATAATTAACATTTTCTTCCATGATTAAACTAAATCAAAGAGACGTATCCTTCAAAGGAATTTATCATATGTAAGAAAGCCAAAAAGCAAGTCAACTAAAAAAAATGAAACCAAGAAAAAATTCAGCTGGGATGATTTGTTTCAACGTCGTGTAAAAGAGGAAGCCTTAAAAGAAGAATCCTCAAAAGCAGAATCCTTATTAGCTACCAGGTTTTTTATTATTTATCCATTTTAATTATTAATTTAATGATAATTAATTAATTAAAAATTTTTTTTTAAAAAAGTCAAACACAACAGTCAGACCCTATTATTGTAAAAAGTAAGGAGGCCCCTGATCAGTCAACAACAACAATTTACATCTTCCATGCTAGTGGTACTGAATTGTCCCAAAAAGTTGTGGGATCTAGATGTGCATGGTGTGTTACTTTAGTATTTAGAGATATTGATTGTTTAATGATTCATTTAGAAAATTTTCATCAACATTTTAAATATATAATAAAAGTAAGTGAATAAAAAAAAAATTTGTAAGATTAAATAATTTTTAAACAAACAATCTTTTTTTTTTAGCAAAGAAAACAAACAACCAGTTGTGAAATTGCTGTACATATAAATGATGAACACTCTAATCATGAATTTTTTGAGTTTAAAGCTGATGGAACTCGCTTTCCAAAATCATTTGCTATTCCAGAAAAGAGTATTTTGCCATCACCATTGTCTTCAAAAAAATTTACTTCAGGAACTTTTGTAAACTCTCGTTCATTTATTCCATTCACTGCAAATTCTGATATAATTGCTGAAAATAATACTTGTGAACATTGGATTCAACAACAAAATGACGAGGTTTGAAAAAAAATCAATTATTATATTTGAAAAAATCAATTGAAATTTGTTCCCATAAAAATAAAAATGAAAATAATCATCTTTATATTTTTTAGGAAATAGATGCAACAAAAGGTATTGTGGATGGAGCAAAACTTTTAATGAAATTGTGGAATAGATCCATGGAACAAAAAAGGTAAAATATTGTATCTTAACATATCTTGCTTTAGCTGAAATCTTTTTAACTATTAAAAAAAAGAATTTTAAATTTCAAATATGTAGATCTCTTTCTGATTCTAGTTTTCCAGACCTTTGTATAAAATTTGCATCTAAACATGCAGAACAAATTGTAAAACTTGAACTAAGACAAATTTTTGTAAGACAACTGCTTAATTTCTGTGATGATGAAATTATTGAAAAAGATTGCCTAGTTAATTGTTTAAAGATTGTTGATGATTATGTTGTAGAAAATTAGTCAAAGTTTTTTATGCTAATATTATTATTTAGATTTAGATAAGAATTAAAATAGAATAGGCTAAATTCATAATGCATTGTTAGACACATTAATAAATATTCTTTGATGCCTTATTTTCTTTACAATATACATTATTTAAAAAACACCTTCAATTCAATATAAACTACTTTAAGCCATGACCCACCACCTATATTTATAGTGCTAATCTCACAAGAAAACCTTTCTTCTACCTATTGTGAGATCATGTCCAGGTCACAATGATAAGTTTCCAGTAATATAATATATGCTTACTATGACTGTCACTTTATAGTTACTACCTATTTCCTTACAATAACTTTTCTATAGACAAGCCTTGCTAAGCTAAAAGAAAAGGAAAATAAGTAATATGAAGACTAGTTTTGGCACCATCTTAAAAACATGTTTTTATATTTTACTAGTTTTATTATATTTATATTATTGTTATTATATGGATGACACTATGTGATAATTTTTCCAAAGATGATAGTGAAAAGAAAGAAAAATTCTAAAGCTATTTATATGTTTTACAGGTCCACTCATATAGTTCCCTGATAAGGAATTCCTTTGTACTATTTTTGTTAATGATCAACAAAATTTAATTAAAGGTAGGGTTGTTAATGGAACATAATGGGTTGGGTTGGGTTCATATTATAGTGGAGCAAGGGTTAACCTAACCCAACC